CACTCATAACAGCCAACATCAGAAGGGAAGTCACCCTCTAGAATTGGCTGCATCCTAGCCATGTCAAGGTACCCATCACAAACAAATTCAAAGTCAAATAAAGAAGAAGAAGAATCACTAGAATCGTTTGCATTGGACAAGTTAATAGCAGGTGTGATAACTCACCCAAGAAAAAAGTAGTTGCCCTCTCATGAACTGAGACCGGAAAGGCAAGAACCACATTTTCCCGCCTGACCTAACGATAGCAGCTGCAGAGACCACATTAGCAACCAATGGGGTTGTGCCCTCTCCCAAAAAGGATAAGCCTTTATCACTAGACAAGGAGATCGGAGTAGAATGACTGCCCAGTCTAAAAGCTAGTATGCTTCTCAGCTCAAGAAGATGGCAAGGACTAGCCTAAAAGAACCACCATGTGATTGATCCTCAAAGGCGGCCCCATTGCTACCCTAAACACCCTTACGCCTCCACAAAGAAGCCCTAGTATGAGGCCTCAACAAGGTGTTGGGAGGCAGAGGACCACCAAAGAAGCAATATTTGGCTGAAGGTAAAGGAGAACCCATATGCCTTTATGGAAATAAAGTTACCGGAACCACCAACAGAAGACATGAGAAAGAGAAAAGAAAGTTTCGAAGGGTACTTGTATTTAAACTGCACAATCTCTCGAATGAAAGAAGGAGCAAATAAGTGACATGGTGTAAATCCTTGAGGAACACTCACAAGGCTCTATGAAACTTGGGAATACACATGAATCTCAAGGAAAGAAAGCTGCAATGCAAAGAAACACTAGAAACACTCTTTGAAACTTGGATGACCAAAACGAAAAAATAGGTTGAAGAGGAAGTTAAGGATTTAATTAGCCATCAAGCATGAAGACGAAGAGAGAGGGGCCAAGGGCATTTTTATACTTTTGTAAGGAATAAGTGAATAACATTAAGTGTTCTCATAGCAAGTCATCATGAGGCATGAAACGCGAAGGACAATTGCATGATGCTCAACACATGTCCAGCCAACAATAAATGCCATGTAAAAAGCATAATTTCTAGGAAAAAGCAGATAGAACTAACCATTTTGAAAAATAAAAGGACCACACAGGTCGTCCATCTGCATTACAGGATCGTGAAATGACCTCGCATGCATTGAGGACTGACTCCCACTGAAGAAGGAACATGAGAATGAAAACGTCGTCAAGACCGCCTACTATGACTTCTAGGGCGCCAAACCCGCTTATCACCCGAAACAGGTTGACTTGAAGATTAAGTTAGCCGAAGCCACCCGAAGCATAGATGGGATGCTCAATGGCATCTCATCGCACTGGTCAACCCTTGAAAGATGGATCCAAAACATAAAACTCAGCCCTTTTAAGGCAAACCTTTGACAAAAAGGCCTTACATTTTAGCCTGACAATCCTAACTTTTAGACTATCGGATGGAAGAGCAATTGTTATGGATTGACATAATTGTTGGGCAAGTGGCTTCTTATACAGAATGCTTACAGAACACCTAGAGGGGGGTGAATAGGTGTTCTCAAATTTTTCAAAAACGTTTTGCAAGTAGATCTTCAAAATTAATAAGCCTAGAGAAAGTTGAACTAACGAGTTCAAGATACACACCAATTAAACTTGAATGACAGTCCTTAAATTGATTTTGTTATTCGCAATTTAGTCAAGTAATCTATATTCAATTCAATATAAATTTCTAAGGACCCTATATACCCTATTTATTTCTATATGATGTATAACAACAGAAAGCGTACTTGACCTTTTTATTCAGAGTATATACGCAAACAAACTTTCTTACGCAAATCATAAAATGATTAATGTCTAATGATCGGAAAAATAGTTAAATTTCTACAGCACTTGTAATACAACAAATTAGAATAAGTAAACCTATTACAGGGCTTTTTAATACAACAAAAAATTGTATTGCCAGAGAACTACTATATCACTTTCAAACCAGAAAAAATATTACTTTCAATCTCTATATAGAAAATTCAGAATTTAAATCAGAGAGAAAGACACATGATATATTCTAGTTCACACCCCTTAGTGCAATGAGATGCTACGTCTAGATTATACAAATACACGTTTCACGCACAATCAATCAAAATATCCAAAACTATCCTAGAGCCTAAATTGCTCCAACCTTCAAGAATTTTCTCAAGCCGAACCTAGGAGTTCACCAACTCCTCTCACATAAGAACTCATACTCCCCAATGGATTCTTAAGGCTCCAGGCCTTGAGAAACACTCTCAGCCAAGTAACAAAGTCACAACCCTCTTGGTCAGACCCAACACACCTAGGACAAATCACACACACAGAGGCACACCACTTTAACACATAATACAATATTCAGATTTATCACAAAAGAGATATTCAAAAATTACAGTGTCCTATCACACTAGATATATCACATTAAGCACAATCCAAGCTCCAAAATTATATGACAAATGCAAAGATTCAAGATATTGCAATATGTACCAAAATCCCTAAAATTAATGCATCAAAAAACCTGGATATTTCAAGATTAAGCTTCAAATCAATGAATAACATAAGAATTTGAGTTTTCAAGATATACCACAATGAAGCCCTAAAATCTGATTTGAATTTCTTAGAAAAGAGACCTCAAAATTTCAGAATTCAAACAGAGTAGTGTAGGTCAGATTCTTGAACTTTTGATTCCAAGAAAATTGCTTCCAATGCTGGCTTCCCTCTCCCACACAATAACGTTGAGATCGAACAAAAGATTCAACAAGAATAGCACAATGTGTTTAGGGTACAATCTAAAGAATGGTTAACAAGGGTTTGGGATTTTCTTGGGAGGAAGATGATAAGGAAGTTTGGATCTACAAGGTGAAGTACTCTCACAAACTCTTGGATCTTACACATAATGAAGTATCAATGATTCAATTTTGGAAGATGAATTTCATTCTTGAAGGATTCTGTTTTCTGGAAATCTTAGAGAGAAAAGCTCTTTTTCAGATAGAGAAATCTATGTTTTGAATGAATAAAACAGAACAGGAAAATATGATTTAATTGAGTCACGACCCAGCTCGCTATTATGCTCGCTACATTGAGTTGAATTATTCATCTTGAAAGTTTGCCCGCTTAATCGAGCATTTCGTCGAGCTGAATTATTCATCTTGCCAGTTTGCTCACTTAATCGAGCATTTCATCGAGCATACAAAATTTTCAACTTATAAAACCAACTTTCATTTTAATATGAAATGAATGTAATGAAATGGAGCTTAGGATGATACTGATAACTCTCCAAAAGAGAGTTATTCTAGGCTTAAATGTGATGTTTTGGGTACTGTAATTGCATGTTATTCTCTTGATTTTATATGATTAATGCATGAATTCTGTGATTTCATGGTTTAATGAAGAATTATGTTAATTATGAGAATTTGGGCATAAATTGGGGTTTTAGAAATATTTAAATGCACTTGTTATTTTGCTGCAGGTCGATGCTTTAGCATCAGGAAGCAGTGCTGTAGCAATGGAAATGAGGTCAGCAGTACATACTGTTGACATCAGCACCAGCAAACCATGGATCCAAGCCCAATTTGGTTGATGAAGCTTCTGAACGTGTACGAAAAGATCTGATTGGAAGACGCGCTCAACATCATCAAGAAATCACAAGATTATCTTCATCAAATCAATGATTACAGATCGAATTCAAATTTGAATTGTAAATATGGAAAGAATCATGTGAGACATGCCATAACACATGCTATCACCTTGACAGCAAAACAGAGTGCCAATCTCAATCAATCACAAGACAGCTTTGAGTGATAATTTGCATGGACTGGAAGAGATGATTAAAGCCCAGAATGTCAAAGCTATAAAGGAACGAACTCTACACAGAGAACGTACGGCTGATATATTTTGAGACACCCATTTGGAGGCAATTTTAGGGAGAGAAAGTGGATGAAACACTTGGGAGGAATTTGAGGGTTCGTAGGGAGAAATCTCGCGGATCAAAGGAGGATGCTGAAGTTCAATTGAGAGATCATTGAACCCAACATCTTGCTACACTATTCTGGCAGTTGAGGCAAGGTTGATGGTGGTGGAGCTCACGGTTGCTGCGATAGCAGTGCTACAACATCGTCCCTATTTTCTTTACTTTAGATCTATGGAGTCTTATTCTTCCATATTGTTTCTGATCACCATATTATGGGCTAATTTATTAGCATTGGGTGATAGAGTACCCTTATTGGGATGTAAACAGTATTGCCTAAACTTTGCTACATGATTTTCCTTTCAGTTGCTTAATAAAGTGTTATATTTTTCTTTAATCTTGTCGATTCATCGAGAGAGGGTTGCAAGATAATTAGGATGTATGTTATAGAGATATAGATATTTCCTGAATGTTATTAAGCATTGTGGTTTAATTAAGTAATATTAGGTAATTGTGAGTAGAGAAATCACTTGCACCACAAAACCAATTGGAACTTGAGCTTAATGGACTCATAACTTTGTTGGCCATAGAAATATGGGACTTAGTATAAATGTATTGTTGGTGAGAGCCCTTGCATGCATTGGTGTTCTGGTTACTGTTTGGATAATTGTTGTAGCATGGTTACTGCATTCTGTTTATATTACAATAATGGGGAAATTGATCCTAATCTGTCTTGACACATTTGAACACTTCTTTTGATACTGAATTCTTGTTTAGTTAATCAGTAGCCTTAGTTTACTTTGCTTTACCTTTAAGTGTTAATTTAGTCTTTAGTTTTTCAACAAATCATCTTTGTTACCTTGATTGTTTAACGAAAGCTATAGCATTATATAATCTCTGTGGGAACGATATCTGGGCTCACACATCCACTCTATTACTTGTTGATACGTGAACTTGCGTTTTTGTGTGATTTAATTGATTACGAAATTGCATAACAAGTTTTTGGTGCCGTTGCCGGAGATTATTATAAAGCTATTTTCTTTTTGTGAAGTGATATTTAAAATCCTATCTTCTGTCTGTCCCATCAGGTACCTCAGCTAGTTTATGAACAGACCTCCTAATCAAGCAGAAGCTGCATTTGATCCAGAGATTGAAAGAACCTTTCGAGCAAGAAGAAGGAGGCAGAGACAGAACAGAGATGTAGCAATACCTAAAACTGCAGACATAGAAGTAGAAGGATCTGTGAATGGGGATGGACGAGATGAGACACCGATCAGATCACATGGAGTCCCCACACTCAACAATCTCCATTCGGGGATTGTGCAACCTGAGGTTGCAGCAGCAAACTTTGAGCTAAAACCCGTGATGTTCCGCATGCTGCAGACAATTGGCCAATACAATGGAATGCCAAGTGAAGATCCACATCTGCACTTGAAAAATTTCATGGATGTGGCAGATAGCTTCAAAATCCAAGGAGTCACAACTGATGCAATTAAGTTGAAGCTATTTCCTTATTCATTAGCCAACAGGGCTAAGACTTGGTTGAGCACTCTAGCCTCTAATTCAATGAGAAGATGGGAAGATTTGGCTGAAAAGTTTTTAGTCAAATTCTTCCCTCCAGTTAAGGCAGCTCAACTAAGGAGTGAGATCACATCATTCCAGCAGAGAGAAGGAGAGTCATTATATGAAAGCTGGGATAGGTTCAAAGAACTGCTACGGAAATATCTCAACCATGGCATACCCGAATGGCTTCAAATGGAAACCTTCTATAATGGGCTGAATGAGCAAACCCGTGGCATAGTGGATGCATCGTCTGGAGGATCTCTCTTGGATAAGACCTTTACAGAGGCCTATGAAATTCTGGAGAGGATGGAAAATAACAACTATCAATGGCCATCTGAGAGGACAATTGCACAGCAGAAGGTTTCAGGAGTGCTTGAGCTGGATGCTATATCATCACTATCAGCACACATTTCCTCTTTGACTAATACCCTCAAAAATTTGAATTTGAGCACTGATGCTAAAGCACAACCACAACAAGCACATGTTATTTCTAATACTTCTAATGTTGTAACATGTGTTTTCTGTACTGGTCCCCATATTTATGATGACTGCCCTCAAAATCCTCAATCAGTGTTCTTTGTAGGAAATTACAACAGGAACAATCAATATTCAAACTCCTACAATCAAGGATGGGGGAACAACAACAACTTGCCTTACTCTCAAGGGCAACAACAAGGATCAAACTATGCTCCAGCACAGCAGATGCCAAGGCCACCATTTCAGCAGCAGCAGCCACAACAGCAATACCAACAAACTCGACAGCAATCTGACAACTCTAGTTCGTTGGAAAATATGCTGAAAGACTTCATGGCAAGGAATGATGCTACTATTCAGAGTCAATCAGCATCAATAAAGAACTTGGAGAATCAAGTAGGGCAGTTAGTTGATGCCATGAGGAGCAGACCTGTAGGCACACTGCCTAGCAACACTGAAAATCCAAGGAGAGAAGGGAAAGAGCAGATCACGGCTATAGCATTAAGGAGTGGAAAGGCTGTAGAAGAACCAGAACATATTAAAGACTACCACAAGATGAAGGAGTCAGAAGGCCAGAACGAAGGAGAGCAGGTTGCTGTGGAAGAAGAAATTGGAGAGCAACAGGTTGACAAACAGACCAAAAGTCCAGCACAGAAAGCTGCAGCAAGAGAGCAACATAGTCAGCCTGCTGACAAAGCAAGTAGACCACCACCTTCTTTTCCTCAGAGGCTTCATAAGCAGCAAGATGACAAGCAATTCAAAAGGTTCATGGACGTGCTGAAGCAATTGCATATCAATGTTCCATTGGTAGAGGCTCTTGAACAGATGCCTAGCTATGCAAAGTTCATGAAAGACATCTTGTCAAGAAAAAGGGGAGTCAAGGAATATGAGACAATAGCTTTCACTCAAGAAAGTAACAGGTTCTTGAACAAGTTACCACCTAAATTGAAGGATCCAGGGCTTTTCACAATCCCTTGCTCAATTGGTAACACCTATGTTGGGTAGGCACTATGTGATCTTGGTGCATCCATTAATCTTATGCCCAAGAGTATTTTCACCAAACTGGGAATTGGAGAAGCACGTCCAACCACTGTCACCCTACAACTTGCTGACAGATCCATCACTTACCCTGAAGGAAAAATTGAAAATGTGTTGGTAAGAGTGGATAAATTTATATTTCCTGCTGACTTCATTGTTCTTGATTTTGAAGCAGATAGGGAGGTACCTTTGCTCTTAGGTAGACCATTCTTAGCTACTGGAAGAACTCTTATTGATGTTGAAAAAGGAGCTCTGACTATGAGAGTCAATAATGAGTAGATAACTTTCAATGTGTTAAATGCATTGAAGTATCCAAGTCAAAAGGAGGAGTGTGCTGCAATATAAGATGCTGATGAAGAGCTGCTACAACAACATGAGACAAAAACTGAGAAGGAGCCCTTGGAAGTTGCTATAGCAGAAGAAGGTGCAATTGATGAAGAGGAGGTAGAAGCATGTCTAGCTTGGATTGATGCCCAACCAGTGATGCCATTCAGAGCAAGACACTTTGAATCTCTGAACTTACCAGAAAGAAAGACTCAACCACCAAAGCCTTCAGTTGAGGAACCACCAGTGTTGGAGCTTAAGCCACTGCCTGATCATTTGAGATATGCATACTTGGGAGAAAATGACACTCTTCCCGTAATAATCTCGTCTCAATTGACCACGTTGCAAGAAGAACAGTTGCTAGAGGTTCTGAAGAAACACAAAACAACATTGGGATGGACCATTGCTGACATAAAAGGTATAAGTCCATCACTGTGTATGCACAAAATTTTGCTGGACGAAGGCTATAGCAGCACCGTACAACATCAGAGGAGGTTGAATCCTATGATGAAGGAAGTTGTGAAGAAAGAAGTCATAAAATGGCTAGATACAGGAGTGATATACCCTATTTCAGATAGCCAATGGGTGAGTCCAGTCCAATGTGTCCCTAAAAAGGGAGGAATTACAGTGGTGGAGAATGAAAATAATGAGCTGATATCTACAAGGACTGTAACAGGATGGAGAATCTGCATGGACTATAGGAAACTGAATGATGCAACAAGGAGGGATCACTTCCCCTTGCCTTTCATTGATCAGATGCTAGATAGACTTGCAAGCAAGAAGTTCTACTGTTTCTTAGATGGGTACTCAGGCTATAATCAGATTGTTATAGCACCTGAAGACCAGGACAAGACTACTTTCACCTGCCCTTATGGCACCTTTGCATTTGGAAGGATGCCATTTAGCCTGTGTAATGCTCCAGCAACCTTCCAGCGTTGTATGATGGCTATATTCACAGATATGGTTGAAGACTTTGTGGAAATATTCATGGATGATTTCTCAGTTTTTGGGGAGTCATTTACTTCATGTCTTGCCAACCTATCAGATGTACTTCAGAGATGTGAAGACACTAATCTCATACTCAATTGGGAGAAGTGTCATTTCATGGTTAGAGAAGGCATAGTCTTGGGTCACAAGATCTCAAAGGAAGGGCTGGAAGTGGATAAAGCCAAGGTTTCAGTGATTTAAAAGCTGCCCATACCCATTAATGTGAAAGGGATCAGAAGTTTTTTTGGGCATACTGGATTTTATAGAAGATTCATCAAAGACTTCTCAAAAATTTCAAGGCCACTTTGCAGATTGCTGGAGTAGAATGCACCATTCATTATAGATGAAGATTGCAAGGCAGCATTTGAAGAACTGAAAAAGAAACTGGTCACAGCACCTATCATAGTAGCCCCTGATTGGAGTCTACCATTTGAAATGATGTGCGATGCTAGTGAGCATGCTATTGGAGCAGTGTTGGGACAAAGACACAACAGAGTGTTTCATCCCATTTATTATGCTAGCAAAACACTCACAGAAGCTCAGCTCAATTATACATTCACTGAAAAGGATTATTGGCTGTGGTTTATGCTTTTGAAAAAAATAAGTAGATAAGAAGGACTCGAAATCGAGGCTAATCAGGTGGATGCTCTTGCTACAAGAATTTGATTTGGAGATAAAAGACAAGAAGGGCACAGAGAATCAAGTGGCAGACCATTTATCAAGGTTGGATGAAGGTAAAGCGGATAAGCCTGAAGAACAAATCAAGGATGGATTTCTAGATGAGCAGCTTTTTGCAATTACCATTACTACAGCACCATGGTATGCTGACATTGCAAACTACATAGTGAGTGGAATTTTGC